TCATGAACATTTACCATGGTCACGCCAAGATATTTCCAACGCAAACACACGCTCATGTCAGCCTATCACGGCTAAAGACAACTTCAACGTATTTCCCAAGTTTTTCGGAACAAAAACACTTTTGACTTTTTGTAACAACAGCCGAAAAAAAAACACTGACAACAATCTTAGCCCATGGTTATATGACATAAACAGCGAACAATCGTTGTTGTTCTACCATATTTTTTTATGGAAACAAATTATGTAAATTAGATCAATTTCAGTTGGCTTATCCGTATTCATGTGGAAAAAGTTTTATCTGCTGAATTTGAGATAGAGAAAAAAAGAGGTGAGCGATGGAATTGATTTCAAAGCAGTTTTTTGAAGGAAAAATGTGCAAAAATTAAGCACACCTGTTGTAAAAAAAAAGCAGCACATCATTTTTTGTTCATTTCTAAATGCCAATTTTGCATTGAATTGTGTAAAGTTGTAGTTTACTTTTCAATTCTCGTAATCGCGATGAAATCCCGGATTCAAATCAACTAATTCGTTTTGATCACAGCCAATGTGTAAGTGTGTCATAAATCTCTCGTCGATCAAATGAAATCACACATCAAATAAAAAGATTTATTAACATTTTCATCAACATTACATCTTTGTTTGTTACATTCTTCGAGAAATCTATAGTATCCGGCCACTACGTTGTTGCGTTGTACACAAATCATTTGCTTCGATTGTGAAATGGATGAGTTATGAAATAGAATCGTTCGCCGTTGCCTTAGTCAATCTTATTAGAATATTGATTCGTAATCTTCGTCCATAATCGTGTTTTTCATTTCATGTGGCTGTATTTTGTTTTCATTTCTTTCTTTTCTCTCTTTCAAAACGGGGTTCCACGTATATAACATTTTGTGGAAATCCACATCACTCAATGCATTGAATTATGAGCAATTTTCTCAGAACCACGTCACATAATCGATATAGAGGAGTTACGGCGAGTGAGAAAGCGAAAAAGAGAATGAGAGTGAGAGCGAATAAAAAAAATCGAATGAGAATGTCTCTTGTATGGATAAAAAGGAAAAAAATGGAATGGAAATACTGAAAGAGTAAGACAGAGATACAATGAAAGCTCTTCTATAAGCGCGTCGGAATTCCAATCGGCTGGCTAATTATATCGATTTACATGCTTGTGAGAGACAGTGAGAAACACTTTACCATTCATCCATTGAAATTGTTTTTTTTTCGCAGTAGTACAACATGCGCGACACATTCATTTAGAATTAGATAACAGTTGGTATTGATTTAATATCTTCAAACGTAACATAGAAGAGAGAAGAAAAAAATCATTTCAAAGCAAATGAAATTCAAGCCGAATCACCAAATCCCCATAATCACCGCTCTATCATCTGACGTGTACGTGTGTGGTGCGATCAAAATCGCATTATGTAATTTCTTCTTGGGCATACAGAGAAATACACCACGTCAACAAAACTACCGTGTGTGTGCGTATGTTCACAATGCGCTTTGATTTGATACAGTATCTGTGTGCAAACAGTGGCCAATATTTTAAGTGGCGATTTAAAGAGAACTGGCATTTTTAATTAATACCAAACATTAAATAAGCGATTCCACGACACATTTTCAAATCTGATTCAACACATCACAATTATTCTCGGCCAACGTTCAATTACACTCAACATTATTAAACTTTGAAATTTGCAATGTTTTAAGCAAAAAGCTTGCATTTTCTGTCGCGTGAAAGTGGCACGACTCTTCAAAGAAAAAAAAAACAGATGATATAAAGGTGTGCAATGGTTCACATTTCCTTTTCGCTTGCATCACTGCAACTCATTCTCAGCGCTCACCGAATCAAAACGAAAATGAAAAAACATATTTTACTAGCACCGTTTGAAGTGATCAATTTTGGTGTATATGGGAAACAAATCAAACAACATCCAAACTATGTCACAATCCGTCGAAGGTAAAGTAACGGAAAAGAAAGAGAAGAAAGAGAAGAGAGAGAGAGAAAGAGAAAAGGTGACGTGAAAGATGCCAAGGAAAGTGAACCATTAATATATGATACCGAAAATGGATGATGATTATTTCGTGGTTTTTACGTGATAATCATTTCAAAAGCGATTTACAAAGGGGAAAGAAAAAGGCGAAGAAAATATTTTGCAACACACTTAATAACATTTCGTTCAAACTCGTACATAGTGGTTCAGCCAGCTTTCGAGGGTCCCATTTCCCAAAAAATCTGAGGACGGGACCTCCTAAGCATTTTCGACGAGACTCTTTCGATCGAGTCTTTTGACCAAAGTTCTCCCCTCCACCGTCATCACTTTTCATAAATAAAAAACCTGTGGATTTTTGACACTACCTCCCTCTAACATCTTTGGCATCTATGACTCGCATTTAGTTAACAATTACGATTTTGATGAAGTTTTGATTTGATTCTAGCAACATCAGTCTACAATAATTGATCAATAATGTTGTGAAAGCAATCTAGATTTTTCCCAACAGTTTTCCCTGACTACTAATTGTCAACATTAATTTGATCAAATGCCAAACACTGAGCGACATTCTTTCTCTTTTTATAACACACACACACACACACACACATGCGCACATCAACAAACAGGATAATTGCAAATGAATAGACAACTTTTAATTAAAATGAATGTGCAATAGTATGACACATGTTCAATGAATTGCGTTTAAAAAAGCGGCAGCAATCGTACAAAGAATTCAGAATGCCGAGTGTGAAATACTTTTTTTTCTCTATGTCGATGAGAGTGGTGAGACAACCGAACGGTTATTATATTATTGCATTGAAAAGTGTACGATTCATTTCGATCCAGTTTTTGAATCTGTTTGAAATAATCAACTTGATTGAATGGAAAGTTGAACACTGGCGTTGTTGTGTTGGTTTGTGTGTGTTTCTGTTTGTTGTTGTTGTCGTCATTTTTTGTAATGTGCATGAACGGGCGCGTTGTCTTTTCCCGTTCGGGGGGGCTTTTGTCACATTATGTATTGACGAAATAATACACAACCACTCGAATTTACATATATGCAACGATTTCATAATTCATTCGATCGGCGAATTAAAGCTCTCTTCATAATCAACTCCATTTTCGATCGATTGTGCACATGTAATGTGTGTGATCAATAATTTGCCTGGTCGCCTCACGGCACCAATCTGTATTTTACAATTCAATATCGATATTATGGTGTGAGCTGGGAGCGCATGAGCGGCACAGTGTTTCAGACAGCGTTTTTTCTTCTTTCGGTCTGTTTTTCTTTTCTTCTTCATTGACAATTGATCGCTATGTTGTCGTCGCATAGCGCTGTGTATTTTCTTCCACTTCTCTTTTTTTTCCCATCCACTCCATTCCATGTGATTCCATCGATGGGTTCGATTGTACATTCGCTCTATAAATTATTGGTATTATATAAGGTTCACCTTTAGTCATTTTGTGCATTGGTATTCATGCCACTTATTTATACAAAAAGCGCATAAGTCATGAGAAAAATCGCAAATAAGATGAATTGCAAGCGAACGAAGTCCGTTATCGAAGATGATACCAATGTTGGCAAAGACTCTCATCCGATTTTTCGCTGTACAATCGATGAATTAAATCGAAAAATGCATTCAAAGAAATAAAAATCATCTGCAAGTGTGCAATAAGAATGAAAACGATGGAAAAACGTTTAAATAACAAATGAGTCTATTTATTGTTGTCTATCCAGTTAGAGCTCATTAAGGTTACCGAGTATTTAAAATAGTCATACATACTAGCCGGTCATTTTCATCTCGTTTTGTTCTCGTGTTTGTTGTGTTTCTCTTTCGTTTCGAGTGACCAAACGACATATGTGTGTATGTGCCCAACTGCCCATACACCATTGGTCATGTACAACTGCGCAGCAAACGTTAAGTCATTAATATTATTCACAAACATAAGTCGAATGTTAAGCAAAGCAAAGCAAAGTAAAGACAGTGAGCGCTTTGTTTCTTTTTTCTTCTTCTTCGTCTTTCAAAATACTTTGTCGTTGTAAAATGAATCGCAGCGAATGACTGTTTTTATATGCACTATTGTATCATGTATTTTGCTTTAAAGTACGTAAAAAGCATGCGTCTTATAACGTATTGTGTATTAAATGCGTTTCAGAATGGTAAATGCATGGGCATGTAGGTGAGTCGCGTGTTGTGAATTTCCATTGACGATTGTGTATGTGTGTGCGCTGATTTCTTTGTGTGTATATCGTTTTGGTATATTTGTAATTTCTCGGTGCGAAAAGTCGTCTTAGCGATTCGTTGTGACCATGTGCGGCGATAGCGTGTACACTTGAATGCGCATGCGTTGAACGCTTTATACAAAGCGGATTAAAATCAATCAGAAACATATTTTACGTTAAACACATTTTTTTTTATGTATTCACAAACTATCCAGTTGTGTTTATGGATAGTGACTGCAATAGTGCGACGCTGTTTGGACTGGAGCAAAGCTGGCCTACGAAGACTACGATATTTGCTTACCGAAGTGAACATACACACAGGGAAAGAAAGAGAGAGAGAGACTCGATTATCACATTTTTTGGTTTCCAGGGAGAGAAAAGCGACCAGCAGACCAAACAAAAACTGAGAAAATTTTGTTAATCATTCACATACAACGACACACATCCGAACAATGTAATTGAAAATTTCAACAAAAAAATTATAAATAACGAACTTTTAAGAAACTTTTTAAACTTATTTCGTTGTATATCTCACAACGTTTTGTTTTCAAATCAATTGTAAATACATATTCCGTCCGCACACATACTTATATTTATATCGCGTTGCATTTGGATTATTTATTAATTTCATTATAGTGTGGTAGTTTTTATTTTTTATTTTATTGTACGTTCGTTCGTTCGGCATCTACACACAGTGTTGCTGTGGTTGTTCGCAAGCTGTTCAGTTTTGCAAGCGTGTGTGTCTTTCTCCGCGATTGCATGATTTGTTAGTGAAGATATCGTTGCTGTTATTAGTCAATTTTGGACATTCGATCATCTAAGATGTCCATAGCGCGTGCACCTTAATTGAATACAAAAAAAAAACAGAGAAAAAAAATCGGAACGAACCAAGAAAATTGTTCGTTGGCCACCACAGCGATCGTGATTTAAGCCGATTTTTTTTTCATTTGATTTTCTAACGAAAAATTAATAACGTTTTGTGCATTTTTGTTCTACTCTAAATTTTCAATCGCGAAGTTTTTTTTTCGTTAATTGTGTTGAAAAATTGAGAGTGTAATTTTTCTTGGATCATATTTTTTGTGTTTTGGTTAGTACCGAATTGAGATGAGATGTCTTTGGAGATTTACAAAAAAAATGAATTGTGAATTTCAAAATGCTTAAAACTAATCGCGAATATGTAAAATCTTATCAAACGTAGTGAAGATCGCGAAAATATTTCATTTGAATGCAGATTTTATTTTTAAAATTAGATTCGGAAAAAAGTTCATTCATTTAAAAAAAAACATTTATAACAAAAAAATAGTTTAAATCAAACATAGAAGATATGTTAATACTTTTGTTGAATTTCGGATCTAAACTCATTTTTTTCATTAATTTTTTATTTCAAATAATTATTCTGTGTTAACAAAGATCACAAGCGGAGTTTGTTTACGTTTGGCCCATGGTTATGTTAAAAAAGAATTTCAATACCACGACGTATTTAGTGCTTTACACAAATCCAGGTTACGGAAGAATATCGTAGCAGGCCATACAAAACCGTGATAAAAAGAAAAAGAATAGCAAATTTGGACTGATGTTTACGGATGTTTAAGCAAAAAAACTGCAATTTATTTAATTGTTTCATTTGTATTCACCTTACAGTCATAACAAATAAAGAATGTGTCGATCAAAGCAATGCGTTCAACATTCAAGTGTAACCTGTAAATGTTTTATTTGAATTTTCTTGCTTTTCGATTACAAAATGCTTTGTTGGCAAACGATCGGTCAAAATTAAATTAGCCGAAACCAAAAATCATTTCATGATAAACATCAAAATTCAAACAAGATACCAGATAGACAACGAAAATAATACCATATGCAGAGGCGATTAATATAATGCATTTTATAAGCGTTTGACCTAATTTAAAAGGGTGAAAGAGAAGAGACAGAGCACAAAAACTAAAATATATGATGGACGCAATAGCCAATGTATATATATATGTGTTACCATTGAGCACATACCACAAAAAAAGCAACATAAATAAAACAAAACAGAAGTAGCAACAAAAACAATGGATTTTTCGTATACCTCATTGAATCGACATTGTTAATCTGTTTTTCTTTTTCGAAATATACTTTTAGCGAAATATCATCTTACGATTTGTGTGTGTGTGTGATTACAAAACAAAAATTTTGGTGCGCGCATTTGTGTGATTGTGTGTTGCTGTTGTTGTTGCTGTTGCTTTGTATTTTATTATTATGATGAATATCCCCATATATGCCTAATTAATAAACGAGTTATGTATATGCGCACGTATATATTGAATGTGCGCGCATACTGACTTTCAGACAGATATTATATCACACACCGAAAAAAAAAAACGTATCAGGCTAGTTGCTCACACCATAGCATCAAAATTATCCAAAAATATGCATAGCAGTAGCAGCAATAAAAATTAGTCAAAACGAAAACGAATAGAAATGTTTCGAAAAAAGTCAATAAAAAAATGCAACGTGCAACTTTTCAATAGAGATCGATATCAAATGATCACAAAATCTCAAAGTAAATATATTTACCAATAACAGAGATCAAAGGAACAAAAAAAATCGTCGTGTGATTTGTGTATATATGTAAAAATACATGATGTGGTTTGAATGTTTCACGCGCATACTATTTTGAAATCGATGAGAAAGTAATAAACATTGAAATGTGACAAAGACAAAAAAAGTCGACAAAACCAGCCAATCACTTCATATATTTTTTTATTTCAAATAATTTTTCAAAATATAATTACGTTTTGTCGTCAACTTATTCACATATATATCCATGCGTTTATTTCAATAGGCATCGACAATCAATCAGTGGCATGTGTATTCCATTCATTATAAACAGACACACGCACACACACATATCAAAAATCGGTGACTTATCAAACCTGAACGAAAGAAGAGAAGAGAGAGAAAAAAACATAATCATCTCTCTTCCAAAGATATTTCGATACGAATTTTGTCGTATATGTTTTCATTTTACATATTTTAAATACACTCGCATAAATTTGAATGTGGTTTTTTTTCATCGTTGATGATATCTTTCTCTTTCGCTCTCGCTTTTTACTCTTTTCTTTTGCGCTCTTCATCAACGGATTTTCAAATGACCTTCGAAAATTGTTATTTACTGTAAATACCTTAAAATACATACACATCAACGTGGAAGAGTGAAGGAAAAAGAGAGAAACAGAGCGATCGAACCACCGAAAAAGAAAGAAATGAAGAGAAAAAATGAATTTTTGGACATAGAGAGAGAGAGAAAGAGCACAAGAGAATGAGATGTTGTAATGTGATGTGTCTTCGAATTTACTTTATGTGCAATATGTTTATATTTAATATTTTGAAAAGATTTTGTGTTGAGCATTTTCTGTTGAGCAAGTTTTTCCGTCTTTACCAATGGCAAATCACGTTGCTGCTGACTGTATTATAATGCCAACTTAATTTTGCATTAAATAACTTTTATTTCATTCGTTCAACACCGATTTTGACGCAAGAGAGAGAGAGAGAGAGAAAGAGTGAGAAAATTCATGGTGAACATGCAAAAAAAAATGTGTTAAACTAACAAACTGTTGTGTTTACACGATAGCTCAAACGACGATCAGTGATTCAATCGATCGATGGAAAGGTGATTACCTATTGCATATATCAGCTGGTGCATACCAACCACATGAATTGTCTCTCTAAGTAAACAATTGAATGTTTACATTTTACTTTTCGCTTAATTGCTCGCCAGATCGATTATGATGTCCATTTTAATTATTGAAATCTATTTTCTTCATTATTCTTCACTTTTGTGCTTTTACTTCAATATTTTGATAACGATTTGCACGGACATAATCGATTTTCGGTCGGATTTCGAAAATGGAATGGTTTACATTGCTGGAAGTATCTAATGAATATTTGTTCATTTTGCATAAATTTGCCTTGACTCAAGCTAAATGCTTCGATGGAATCACAAATAGGCCAACAAAAAAGGCAAATAGTTCGATGGAACAGTTGTCTCAACATTAAATGAGTCTTACAAAATGTCTATGCCCCAATTTAAACCAATCGAACATTAAAAATAAAATCGATTTTTTCCCACTTGACATAAGAAAACGTACAGGAAAATGTTTTCATTCAAAATTCATAAAATACTGAACTGAAAAGAAACTATGTTAGAAAACTATTATTTACGCTTGAAAACTGAACTGGTCACCCCAAATTCCATATATATATATATATATATATATATGTGATATGGATAAACAGTTATGTGGTTGAATCGACGACAATGGTCGAAGTCGTTATTTTAACGAACTAAATTAATTTTTAACGAACGTAGAGCGATAGCCTCATTTAGTTTAATTTGAAAAATTGAAATGTTCACATCTACGCAAGAGATCGCGGAGAAGACGTAATAAAGAATTGCAAAGTGACGATTGAAATTTATATCATTTGCAACACAATTGTTGTTGCATGCAATGTGAACGTTAACTTTCATTGGTTCTGCGAATAACTGCAGTATATACGGTGCGTGAAGATGATACATTTTTGTTGTCAGTAATTGGTCTCGTTAGCACGCCATGTGTGTATTGTCATTTTTCGCATATCAAGTCAATCATCTAATATTATATGAGTGTGACGAACGCCACAAAACAAAAATGCAAGTGGATTTTTAAATGAAATTGAAATCGTCGTTTTATTTTCCGTCATTCAATAAACAATCACAATGTGTGTGTGTGTGTTAAGTTATGCGTAAGTTAGATTATCGCCATAAGAATCTTAACGGTTAAAATCAAATCCAATTGTCTCTGGAAGCGAAAATGACATAACTAAATTAATAAAATTTGGGTCAATATACGATGTCCACTATCTCTTTCAATTCGAATTCACATACGTGTGAGATGTATCTTCACACGTCACACACACACACACACGTCACAGTCACGCAAGATTTAAATTATGGCTAACGCAATCAGTTACATGAATGTGTCGATTTATGTGCGTATTGTATGGGCTCGGGATTTATTTGATAGAGACAAAAAAAAACCATGCAAAACAAATTATACGTTTCGTGAGAATGGCCCGATAAAAGCGTAAAAATCGTTAATCTTCCGATGAATATTTAATCTAGCCGATAGCTGAAAGAACAATCGTATTATCGTGACCTAATGTTTATCGTATGACGACGACGCTATGTGTGACGTAAATTTATGCGGTGAGAAATCAATAATCAAAAGTGAGAAATCGAAAGTTTTAAACGCAAATATTGTCCAAATCATTTTAACGTGATAGTGCGTTATTTGTGTACCATTGCCACATAGTAAATATGTAGGCATCGACAAATGTGGGGGAATCGTATGTTTGTTGTTCTGTGCGTTATGGTCAAAATGGAAAATCGAATGATGTTTGACACTCTTTGCAGTAAATCGATCGTTTCTAATATCGATGCCATTTGGATTACCAAAATCCGAATTACAATGTGGCGTGATTGTCACAAGAGCAAAAATTTGCCAACGAAGAAAATAGTGAATTTTTCCCCACACACACACACACATTTTTTGTCTCTCTTGTCTGTGTGTTTCATTCAATCTATGTGTTTTAGCCTAGATTCTTTCATATGATTATATGTGCATGAATGTTTTGTAGCCGCTTGTTTTATCGCCTTTTCTTCGGTTTTTTTTTGTTCGTTCATTTGTTGCAAACCTGTCTTTCAACTCCAAATTGAGAGAGAAATGGAAATATACTCATTCGCTCAATCGAGTTTCAGGTATATATAATTGTCCAGTTGATCAATTTCGTATTACATTCACACATGCACACAAGCTGGAATTGAAGAATTATGAAACACCACAATTCTATAGAAATTGCATCGCATAAATCGGCTTAATGAAAAATGAAGAGAGAAAGAAAAAGAGACGCAAGCACACAAACATACAAATGTTCAACTATTTATTGCATGGAAGTGAAAAATGTGCACATGGTGAATTCATTCATGTGAATAGATGTGTGGTATGTGTGCGTTTAATGTATATTAAATGATTCAAACTGAACGAATGGCAAAGGAATCGCTACCAAATGAACGGAATCGACCGACCGACCAACAAACCGACCAACCAAAAAAAAAAAGAGTGCCTACAGCTTTTTGATTCACTCTCATTTTCATTTGGCTATTGGCGATATATTGCCCCAGCCAATGTACTTGTTTCATAGTCATTAAAACATGCATACACACACATTGTGGATGTACCACAACTTACGGGAATGTTGTGTACCACAACCACATCAGCCACAAAAGCTGCAGCAACAGCAGAGAAAAGCGCAACAACCATTGAACGAAATGAAAAACCAATCGGTTGATGCATCTTATGAATCCATTGTTTGCGTGACTGTTGCATTTCTTTTGTGTTTCATTTTTAAATTATTCTGCATAAATTGATTGAACAATTTTCAATTTTGAGCGGAACAAAATCGAAATCAATGAGATACGATTCACGAACTGCCAATAAAGTTTATTTTTGGATGCCATGTAGCATGCCAAACTTTTTATTTTCGTAAAATGATTTTTAGTGTTTTTTAAACGACGTTTTTTTTTGTCTCTTCGCCACCACTCTCATGCTTCTGTTCACTCTAACAATACATTTGATTACGTGTTATTTGAGAGTGAATATTGGATTTTGTCACTTTAAGGAAAAGAGAGGAGGGTGAATACGATATTGACATTAATTACTCTTGATTACCGCCAAACTATTAATATCATTGCTGCACTTATTACATTACCAACGAAAAATACATTTACAAAACGAATGCATGTTACAACGCAAAAAAAAAATCCCACAACACACATACATATATGTGCGAAGTAACGCACGCACACACATAAACATCGACAAGTCTAGTGTGATGGAATTTTTCATTGGAAACAATTTCAATGATAACAACATTTTAATGCATCTAGATCTACTGCTTCGTTATATATCTGGTTTATTTTTTTTCTATCATATTTCGTATGGCAAACGAAAAAATAGCAACTTCTAGAATGATTTGATGACAAAGAAAAATATCGAGTCATTTATGATTTATTTAAGAGAGAAAAAAGCACTTGCCATACACACAGACACATCTAAAAGCTACATGGAACGAAAACAAGGAAACCATAATACTTGAACAGAGGAAAGAAGAAAAAAAAATAGCCAAAATCATGCGATGAAAAAAGAAACATACACACACATATTAATACTGAAGGTCAACAAAAACGTAATGTTTTTTTTGCTTCTCTTTTGAATGCTCAATGCGTTGGCCACCTGTTACGCTAACTTTAACGCCGCTATTCAAATTATTTCCAACAGAAACGTTAGCATACTCGCGAGTGCTTAGATGATTTTTTTTTTCTGGTGGAATTCAAAGAAAGCTTGTGAACTTGTTTAACACCGAAGAAATCGACATTTTCAAATCAAAGTAATAACAACAACAAAATACTCGTTAAATTTTTTTAAAATAAAAGTGGAAAACAATTATGTTTTAAAAAATGATGAAAAAAATGCGATAAAACGATTAAAACAAGTGAAATGTTATTTGATCAAAAAAATTATTACAATCGAATACGTATATAATGGTGATTTCAATTTTTTCTGCAGCGCATACCGGATTACCTAAATATCTATAGACTTTGGCACATAATATAACATAAAACAAATAGCAACACACACATAAACACATACAAAATGTTAATAAAGTAAGTCGACTGAACATTTACTGTGTTTATTTTATGATAAAAAAAAATCCATATAATTTTGTTCATTTTTATTGTGTTAATCTTTAATTTCATCGAAATCATAACCATTTTTATTTACTTAAATCGGAGCAATTATGACACGGTATCGACCATGATATAGTCGAATCGGATCCGCTTTATACTGTATTCAATGTCTGTTTTCATTTGAAGACGATTTGCCCAATTTTTTTTTTGCAACAATCAATTGTCGAACAATCAAATATTTACCTAAAGCAGCCACAGTTTGGTATTGTAAACAAAATTTCGGCATTTTTTGGTATGCATATTAGTTCAAGGATTATCTCATTACTAACTAATGGTTTTCTTTACGGCCGTTTTTTTTTTTGTATTTTTCATAAGCTTTTGTTTTACACACATACACAGCATTTTTCCCTTTTTTGTATACAAGACCAGTATAGTGTTTATGATTTATCTGTGAGATGTATTGCATTGATTTAATGGCAGACACTTGAGCGGCAAAATCACAGAGACAAGTGATAGAGAGAGAGAACTCAGCACGTACATTGAATAATCAATTCACAGCGATACTAGAGTGATGAGTCAGGCAATTCCATGCGCAAAATCATCCAGACCCCATACCGGAAGAGTAAAAAACTCTGCTTTTATGCAAAATGTCAATGATTATTCAAAGAAAGACAAAACAAACACTTTGCGCATGTTGTCTGATGTGTGGAACGTGATATGGGCATTGACCAGTGTCTAATTATGACCGATTGTTCTACTTCCACCATTCGATAATTTATATGATCCTAAAATGTGAGCCTGAATTTTTGAATTCTCATTTATTCCGAAAACACAAGATTTTTTATTACGTTTGGTACCTTTTCTTTCATTTCAATTATTTAATTCCTTTATTTTCGAATTAGAAATTAGTTTTGTCAAAAATAAAATGTGCAAACATTTTTCAAGTAAAGAATTGCGTACTGTTTTATTATATTTATGCAGTCATCGCGCAAATACGCATTCTGATTAAATTAATTATGAAATCGAGATACATTGTACTTATAATTAAAATTCGAGTATATTTTTAGACTATCACTGTCGTCTGACGAGATAGAGATGAAATTAAATTTAATCGCTCTTACATGGGATTCTGTCTCCGTTCTCTTTCTTTGACATTGTACAGTATTCAATTGTCCGTTCGACAATGAAGTGAGTGATTATTTGCGTATATGGAATTGTTCGGACTTATGTGCATTGAAAATTTAATTTTGCATATACAGCCAAAAAAAAATGTGTGCTTTCTCAGACATTTTCTGCGGCGTGTGTCTGTCACCGCAGTCATTTGGGCTATTTTTAATGAACGAACATAGCCGAAATGAAAGACAAACAAAACATAAAACTATTTAATTTGTATGCGAGCACATTCAGTGTTCACGAAAAAAAAAACTGTTTGTTCCTTCTATTGTTAGCGGAGAATGATTGTGATCGCCTGCACATACAAACAACGTACATCACATTTATTTTTGCATTTTATCTGTTCATGACATGGCGTTCACATCGTTAAATAAATCAAAATATTTTGTTGATTCTTTTTCCAAAAACGCATTTTTGGCATTTCAAATGTTACATTCGTGATATGATTACTTGATGGGTTTTTTTTTTAATGAATCGTATAAATTGTATCGATTCATATCACAATAGCCAAGAAAAGAGAAGAAGATTTAGAAAAAATGCGAAATTTATGTAAATGAAAAAAAAATTCTTAATAATAACAGTTTTAATGTATATTAAACTGCGGTTTGAGTGTGAGTGACATTGAGTTCGATGTGCGATTTGGAAACGGCACTATGCAATACAAAACTGAAGTTCGAATTATTTTGAAAGTGAGCTGAAAAAAAGTTATTTTTCGAAACGGAAATTACTATTATCACCGCAACATCTCAATTGACGATGAAACAAACGAACAAACACAACAGCTATTTTGCCGCATTAAAATGATCATGCTTTTATTACAACGTCTTCTATTCAAAACAAAAACAAAAAAAGATGCTCGAAATGACAAAAGTAAGGTACTATATGTATCACAAATTTGAATGCACTTTTTCCCCTCTGAATATCTCGCATATTTTTGTTGATCGTGATGCGGTCGGTACACACAGTGACACAAACACATGTTTACATTGTAGAAATGTAAACTTTGAACTACAAACATAAAACGAAACGATATATTGCAAAATAGATATATTATGTGAGATCTGGTAGCTGTAACACAGATCTAAAACTATTGCAGTGACATCAGTTCGCGTTAAATGGTTCCAGTCGGTTCACGTTGAAATCAAGTTATTGCAAGTCTTGGGGCTGCTGCAAGCAGTTATTACGACGTTTTTTTTTTCCTTTATACAACTCAATAAATTATGTGTAAAGCGCCGTTTTTATCTGAACAATTCATAAAATTACAAAGAAAAAAAATCGTTTTTCTTTGTGCAAGGCACACATATTCCGCTTTTGGTTTGCGTATCGTATTAAAAGTCGAACAGTTAGTTGAAATGTGCACTTGTTTGTGTGTTGTTTTTTTCTTGGCCAAATCAAAATCGACGTCAAACGGTGACTTGTATGTTTTTTTCAATGTGCAAAACTGCTTTTCTGTACATCCAAAGTGGATGCTAACATTCAAGAATTCACGCGCGACTGGAATATATTCTATGCGATGAGCGAAAAAGTCATTGTTAATGGAATTTTTTTTTGTTAAAATTCACTTTGCAACCATTTCCGAAGGTATTCTTTCACCTTTTTTTCCATTCAAAGGCAGAACACAGGTTCAATGAATGGTTCGGAATCGATCGCAGATTTCTAGATATAAAAACAAGAGAAATACATATCGAAGTAATAACACAGAAAGTTAGTCCATTTGCAAATAAATGTATACACCAAAATGGAAGCATGGAAAAAATCGTTATTCGAAGAAAATAGATACGAAACAAAAACGAAACAAGAAAAGCAAATCGCTTGAAAATACTATAATAATAACAAAATAAAACCAAATACAAAAAAAAATCGAAATCGACAAGCTCTTGTACCAAATAGTAACGAACTCTGAAGGACGCAAAAACGTTAAATTGGGTATGTCTTCATGAGTATTACGTGAATGAATTCAATATTGCAACGCAAAAGAGTTTCAATGCAATTGTATTGATTGGGACGCGCGCGCGCTTGCGATCAATATTGAGAAAAAGGTACGATCGTTGTTGTTGTGTTACTAGTGCTGCATGTGCTGCGATATATGTTGGTGCAACAGTTTTGGTGGAATGAATATTTACAAAAAAAAAGAAACAAACTTACGCACACAATATACACAGAACGCGATTTTGAGGTTCGAGCATTTTAAACAGCCTGTTGATTTTTATTATTCGAACGCTAAAACATACATATTGTACATTTACCGTAATAAAATATCTTTTAATGCACTTGTTACATAAAAGACCGCTCTTATACATACATATGCGCACTTTTATATCACAACATTCCATTAAGAGCGACAGTGCGTATCCATTCTGTGTACGTGTATTTGTATACTCTTCCATTTTTTTTCTTTTCAATAATGGATTGCAAACCATACAGCGGCTAAAATCCGTTCATAACACTTCCAGCCACATTTCGAACTTTGGAATTATTCTCACTTTCAATGTACTCGAGCTTAACACTCTGGTATATTCAAATCAATCGTTCTTTTTTTTGTTCAATTTTCAATCTAAATTTTCTAGTTGTGGGTCTGATTTTCGCTTTCAATTTTTACACAAACAAAATCGAGAGCCGACAAAATTTACCAACTCTTTCAGTGTCATTTTCAGCATGTATGGTTTGAAAGTGAAAAAAAAAACACAGCAGCAAAATAATCCAAAAATGGAAGTGTTGGCCAAGAGAATCAGTTTGTCGATTACTTTCAATTTTTTTTTTTCGACATTTTTTGAGCGCTGATTCCGATTTACAAAAAGTCGTTATTGCTATTGAAACATTGTATTACAATTCTTTTAGCCGTTATAAATCATGTTGCTTTCATTTCTGGTCTTCTTGTACTATTATTCTTTTTTTTTTGTTTGATTGGTGTTCACAGCGGTGTTCTGAAATACCACTACAAAAATACAACAATCAAGTATGATGAAATTTTGAATTAGTTTCCATTTTTTTCCTCGTTCAATAGAGAGTTGTGTGCGGTGTATTACTCAATCTCATAAAAAATGACGTTCATTGGTCTTTGGCTGATGACTATGTGAGAATAAATTTTAAGACTTTTTCAAAGTCTTCATTTCACAAATGATATGAACCAATAACACGCAAACAATTTGTAATTTTTGTATACGTCTTCTTCTTCTTCTTTTGAAATCAAGCGAAAGATCGAAAAATGAATAAAAGAAGAAGAAGAAGAAAAAAAACATACAAATCTGATGAGATTCTCAAAGGTCGTACCATTATTTACATATTAAGATTGTAAAATGCTTTTCATAGCGGCAGTGATAAATTCGGGCATCGGTAAATGAACTGAGCGCAATTCACAAAGTCACAACACTAAGTCAAGGAACTATATAGGCATTCAGTTGATCGTTTTTTTTTACAGAAGAGTGAACAAAAAAATTTTTACAACAATAATACGCTAGCGCACACTTGTGAGTGATTAGGTTGCGAGAGAGCGAAAAAAAAACACAACGGTATGGTTATGGAACATCTGAATGATTTTGAATGGTATTCATTATTCAGCGTAGATGGTGTGGCGAGATGTGTTTTTTTTTATTCTCTCGGTCGATATAGTATAATACTCAATGAAGGACATTCAAACGAAACAGAACAATAACCTTAAGTGATTATTGCATTCAATGGTACGCCAACTCTTTTAAGCAACGAATGCAACCAGCAAGTTCAATTTGTTTTACTTCTCTGAAGAGGAACTTTTTTCTTAAACGCTGTTCTTACCTCTTTACAATTTGATCGTTCTATTTTTCTGT